TTAAAGCGGATTGTAACAAATGCTCTGTATAAAATATTAGGACCGTTTACGAGAATTGTAGAAATCAAGTGTTATTGATAAAGAGTTTTAAAAAAAATTGAGTAAACAGAGAGAAGTTTGAACAACTTATAACGCTAATCTCTGAAACAAACAGCACTCTTTATTTAGGGAGAGTGAAAATTTTAAACAGAATTCACTTCAAGTCAATACCAATACATATTGAGAAAGATATAAACCATCTTCAATATCAAAAACTCATACAAGTATTTAACAGAATCGTTACAACTCTTTTAATTTAACGAATATTATCCACAACATAACAGATAATACAAGCAAATATTTGTTTGTGTGCTTTGTTAAGTATTTAAAAATATTTCAATGGATAAAATGAAAAAAAAAGAAGATATGATTATATAATAATAAAATAAAAGTTGATATGCATTAAGTTGTTTTGTTTGTTTATTATGTTGGGGTTTTAAGTGTAAAACACCCAAGTCACCAACACCTGCAAATTAATTTGTTAAATTTTTTTAACCAAGTCGTTTGATTTCAAGGAACTTAACACTAGCTTAATAGTGTCTTCGTCATCCCTCAAAATATTTGCTATTGGAGGTGTAAGTTCTGAACTATTCACACTCAATACGTAAAAAGGAGCATAAAGTTGATGTTACTTTATCAATGTCAGTATGTAACAATGACTATTTATTCTTTAGGCTAATGAATTTAAATTTTTAGAGTGCAAATGGATCCTGACAAAAAGGGGGCCTACAAATATAATTGGGCCGTTTATTTTGGTGGACGCTACGTCAAACGGCCTAATACTTCGTAAGATTTATTTTTTCTCGATTTTGTGATAAAATTATCTTATGATTCAAGTTAAATGCAAATGGATATTCATGGATATTTAGTATTTCATAAAAAAAAACAATTAGTTAATTACTTAAGAGTAGCACCTTTATAGAGACTGGATGTGCCCCAGGAGTTTCTCCCAACCTAAGGGTCAATCCACGGCTGATGAAACAGACAAAAATACTTTATTGAAAGTAGTGCTGCCCTACTATATAAGGTTGCTTTATACATAGCATACTGATCAATCCGCGTGGACATAGCTCTTACATCATATTATTCCATTATTATATAAACACATAATATTTATTTAATATCTTATCACAACACTAGTCCATATACCATATCATTAACTATACCACATTAAACAATTACCATTATAAAATACATATATTTCATAAAAAACCGAAATAGTATTCGACTGCTACAAACACCAGACTAAATCACACACATATATCAACGCAATTCCTTGAATATAGACAAAAGGATAAGACAAAGTTAAAAAATCAAAATTAATAAATAGATAAATGACAAAGGGCATCCTAAATTCAGTCAATTGATAGGGGATGATCCCTAAGAAGTCTAGAATAATCTTTTCGGGCAATATTGCAAGCTCCCGAACAACAACAATTAGTTCCTCGAAGAAGCTCCTTGTTCTTTTTGGAATCGTTCCGCGAGACCCAAACCAGAGACCTCTCACGGTGAACTCTCTCTCTCCGAAGGTCTTACGGAACTTATAACTTATTTATCTTATTACTTATAGTAATTTATAAAAGAACTTATAATAATTTATCTGCTACCAGTCGGATTCAAACCCGGGATCTTAAGCTCTGGAAGTCAAGGCCGAACCCACTGAGCTATCCCGATCTCACTTCAGTAAATTAATTAACTTAATGAGAAAACACTGCATTTTTGACAATTTTCGCAAGTATACAAGTTTTAAATTAAGACAACATAAAGCCAGCCATCTTTTACATTTTGACTGTTGTTAATAATTTGACAAAAGTGGATCTATACCGCCGAATATTTTATTTGTATGTTCAATAAATAAAATTTATTATCTATTAAATTACTTTTTAAAAACCACATGGCCATAATATGTGAATATAATCAAGTGGAATGTAAATGAGCATTCATGAGTTTTTATTACCTCATTAAGCAGACAAAGTTTATCCCAGATTGAAAATGTCTCATTTCAGAGAATTTTCGTAAATAAGCAAATTGTAATCTATATTAGTGAAGCCATTCACTAACTTTTAGAAGGAAGTTAATAATTTGATAACAAAATAACAGAATAAAAGTTTTGAATAACAAACAATTAAAAACAATTTTTGAGACAATGCTTTAAACGTTTTGTTAAATACAAAATAAATGGAATAATTTTTATATAAATATACAAAGGTCAATTCATTAGACCTGATTCGTATAATTAATTATTTTAATATTATGTTTCCCTCATTATGTACTTACACATACGTTGACATACGTATCCATGAATCGCCTGAATTTAAAAATAAAAAAACAGATTAATCAGCTACCTAGGAGATGAAAAGGCGTGTAGCAGTTGGACAAAACTGTTTAGAAATAATTGAAATTCAAAAGCTCTTGGACCAACGAGAGTCTAAGTTTGATTAAATTAAGCTCCATTTGAGATGGAGACAGAAGAAGAAGTTGAGTTTTCATTATCAACAGAGAATGGAGGGATGGTTATAACCAACTTAGTTTAGTTTAATTAATGGATCGATTGCTCAAGTCACCTAGGGGACTTATTTTTCAAGTCCGGTCAAAAACAGAATAATAAAAAATTCTTTTCGATTAAAACTTCTAGTAAAAGTGGAGTCCACTCGTTTCCGTGAACAAACTTTCAACTTCACTCCAACAGGATTGTTTACTATGCCAGCGGATCGCTGTTTTTGTAAAATAGATTCTACTAATATTAGAGATTAATTTAATGCTGGATAGTAATATTCTCAAAGACTGTAAACATGTGTGTGGAGATAACTAACTGTAACAGGCCATGTCAACAAATAATTAACATATTCATCAATGGGAATAATAAAAATGTGAGAAATTAAATAAAAAAAACGGGAGCAGCATTGAGGTTATATTTTCCTCGTGTTAAATAAATAAATAAGAAAAGTTATTTTATTGTCTTATTACTGGTTACGTGAAAAGATTTATTAGAATTTAAAACATTTCAAATTATTATATTATGTAAGTTATAAATTAAATATGGTTGCTTCCTCTCACAACTTTACTCATCTCTTAGAGGAAAACATGGTTTAATTTTTTTTAAAATATTTTAATCATTTAAATCAATACAGACAACTATTTTTCACGGCCATTGAATCGGTTAAATGTAGAAGTTTGCATCACTTTCCATTTTCTTTTACGGATGCGTATAGTATCAAAAACTAATGATTGTGGGGAAAAACAAATCTTTTAGAAATTTTTATAGTTTGGTCGGATACGTTTATCAAGAATCTCTCAGAAAAAGTAACTTAACGTTAGTAAATACTGTATATTACAGGGTTCCAGTTGATCATCTACATTTTGTGTGAGAACTATTTTACAAATTATGGATAAGTGATATATAAAAGTTGAAATAACAATATGAAAGCCCTGCATAGAGGAATATCGGGTATCTGTAAAGAAAGAAGATCTGTATAGGTTGGGAGCGCTCGGCTGTTTCCGTATATATATATATTAGTCATCTTCAGAAAAGAAATTTCCAAATTTTGTTCAAGGTGTTATATAACGGATATAAAAAAAGTAAAAGCATTTTATCTTCGGAAAAATACTTCATAAATAAAACAGATAAATATGAATGAGTAACATAATTTTGTGAGTTTCGACCTAGCCTGGGTCATTCTCAGACAGAGAAGATAACACATTATTATTACACCCCTTACTGACAGACACTTCAAAGTCAATCATAACAATGCTTATTCATCTCTTTTTTCTCAGTTTGCCGGTCCTCAATGTAGTATCTTAGGTCCTATCCTTTACAAAGTTTATACAGCTGGCATCCCAACCCAATCCAACACTGTCATGACCGCACACACCTATGCCGATGACACGTGTCTCCTATCAGTTAATAACGATCCATCTATTGCATCCCAAACTCTTCAATCACACATTACAAGCGTTGAAAAATGGTGTCAAAACTGGAGGATTAAAATAAATTCCAATAAATCCCATCAAATCACCTTCACTCTTCGTCGTAAACCTACGACTTCCTGTCCTACAGTATCATTCAACAATAGCCCTCTTATCCCTGTCGAACAAATCCGATATCTAGGACTCCACCTAGACAAACGACTCACTTGGGACCCCCATACCAGACTGAAACGACTAGAAACCGCCCGACGTTTTCGACTACTGCATCACTTACTATACAAACGCTCTAAGCTTTCAATCAATTACAAACGACTCATATATATGACAATAATAAGACCTATTCGGACTTATAGAATTGAGCTTTGGGGCTCCACTAAACCATCGAATTCCACTCGTATCCAATCCTTACAATCCAAAATCCTTCGTAAAATCCTCAACGCTCCTAACTTTGCCACAAATAAAATCATCCATAAAGACCTTAATGTTCCATATGTTTCCGATTTGGCCAAATCCAGATACCTATCCTTCCATAACAAACTGCAGGACCATCCGAATCCTCTCGTTTCAAACCTTACTATCTCCTCGATCCCTGGTAACCCTCCGAGGCGTCTGCAAAGAAGATGGCCTCGGGGTCTTCTAATATAGAACTTTAGTTTGAGTTCTACCAATGGGTAGTTTCTCTTCATGTTGTACATGCCATGTTACAAATTTCTCATTTACTTATTGTATTCTCTATGTAATACAGTTGTCATGTTACCAATGTCACATTTACTTTTTTGTATTTTTCATGTAATACAGATGTAAATTTCATTAAAATAAAAAAATAAAAATTATTACACATGATTTGCTTCTAACATTTTCATAATCTTGTTCAAATTTATCCTGGACCAAAGAAGGAAATATTTGGCGGATGACGAAAGAAGAGCTGAAGAAGTGGTACAATACCCCAGATATTTTATCCACCATAAAGAGGGCAATGATACGATGGTTGTGACGTACAAAGAATGGGACATAAGTTAATGATAAAAACGATGATGGAGGGTCAAGCAGGTGTAAGAAGAAAAAGAGGCAGGCCTAGACTTCATTGGGTGGAATATGTCGAAAACGATCCAAGGAGAATCGGTGTAGGTAGATGGAGAAGGGTGGCCAACGATAGGTCGGTTTGGAGGAAGATAGTAGGTGAGGCCAAGGTTCGGTGAGGACCATAGCAACAGCCATCGGATGTTGATGATGATGAATCGTTGACATTCTGTTTTTAATTTAAAACTTGAAATAATCATATGCCCGAAATATCATTGAATTCTGAAATTTCAAAGACTCGTTAAGATTTCAGAATTAATAACCAGATATTGCATAATGACAATTAGGGTATCATTAAACCATTATCAAATACAGCTAAAGGAAATTAATCCTGAAACTAATTACGGAAATATATAAATTCATTTCGGCTGTACTGTTAATAAATAGCAATTTTGATTGATGTAACGCAACACACGTTAAGATTTCAATATAGATACCTGAACTGGTTTGATATCAGAGGGTGGAGACGGCATCCAGCCTTAATATGCGATACCGTTACAATTAATTGAAACTTGAGTAAGTCAAGTATACCATTTCCCATCGGATCTGCGAAATGCTATAAGAAAAATATTTAATTATTCATAATTGCTGAGTCAATCAATTTCAATAATAGAAATTTTCCAAACTCACTTGTCGAAGATTTTTTATTTCAAAGTGAACCAAAAAATTAGTAATTATTAGTCAAAAAAAGAAAAATCTACCAATAAAAAACTAATTAAAAAAATTCGGTGTAAATACAATATTTAATATTCAATTATTTCGTTTATCGCTATGAATTTATGAACTTATTTATCATACTTATACACGGTGATTCTTGATTGGTCATGGGCCAAAGTAAAAAAAAACCCATATGTTGTTTATTTTCATTTGTTTTCATTTTATTGTCAAATTACAAATTGACGATACTTCATATACTGTGTACAAAACACTCAAAGCTATATACAAAATACTTCAAGCTATTTACGAAAACAATGAAAAATGGTTTTCAATAATGCTATAAATGAATATGAACTTTGCTTCTCACAAAGAATGTGTTTGTATATTATTATCTATATTATAAATAGAAATATATTTCATTTATGCCCTCGGGCAGTGGAAGGACTTTGTTATGTGTATATATTAGTATTGTTGTACTTATATGTGTAATTTAATTAAATAAACTTTTTTGGGGGTTAGAAATAAAAAGTAAATAGAATATATATATATATATATATATATATATATATATATATATATATATATATATATATATATATATATATATATATATATATATATATATATATTGCATTTATCAATGTGACTTCTGTGACTGTGATTTTTCTTTTTATGTTTGTGCTATTTCATATGTTTATTGTATGTAGATGATAAAATATTATTCATAGATTTTTAAATTTAAATGGATGAATGTAGAACTTAGATTCAAGAATAAAATCAATTGAAAAGAATATATTTATGATGGATTCAGAAACGCAATAATTATTTATTTCATTATAATAATTTCGTTTTTCTAATTGAATTATTTATATTTGATAAAGGGGGAGAAGAAAAATGCTGACTATTCTGACAGAAGAAAGTAGTTTCGTTAAAAAAAAAAAAAAAAATACCTCCAGCTTCTTCATACCCACCTAAAGCTCAGGTATCTTTTAGGTGAAGCAGCGTGTTAAATCTACGTGAGCATGCCCTATCCGAAAATCCCTTAGGACCATATTCACCCTTCTTAATACCTATCCCTCAACAAGTTTCATTTAAGAGCCCGTAGGGAGATTCTAACTTCATACACTTTTTGGTTTCTTCAAGCTGATGAAAATTAAATTTTATCTCATAAAATCATTATTTGGAATAGAATACAATAATAGATACAACTTTTTTGTTAAGACATAGTAAACACTTTTTTTTCAATTGTCTATTAATAAATATTACAATTCGTCTCAATGAAGCACACTTATAATTAAGTTCAGAGAGCACATTTACACGATGTTTACAGAATCATAAATAAATAAGGTAATAACAAAATAATATAAAGAAGAATAAGAACAAAATAAAATATCACAAGGAGGGAAGAAAAAAAATAACAATAATATTAAAACAAAATAATTTTATTATTTGTTAAAATGTTCTTATCAATTATAATAATAAATAAATAAATTGATAGTATATCTGTGACACTTGTGAATACAGTATGTAAAGTATGGAATTTTTAAAGAAACTTTGATTTTTTTTAGTATCAACCCATGATTCACAAAGAAATAATAGCCGCATAACTCAGCCAATAGACACAAAGGAAGATAAAAAAATAGCTTTCTGGTGACACCCATAAAAATTCACCAAATAGCGCTGAACACACAATAGTAGATTTTTTCGCTATTAACAGATTACACAGATACATTGTTTATTATTAATGGTAACTATGTAAAAAGGTAAAAAAATATCACCAAGAAACATAAATTCAATGTTAGGTTATAACGGGGAAAAATCCAGCCATTCTCCAAAATACTCTTGAAGAATAAAATCTCGTCAACGTCTCACCAATTCAGATACCATCAGGAGAGAAATTAAAAACAAACCAAAGATAACATTATCCAATGACGTTCAACCGCATACTGGAAGAACGTATACAAAACAAACACCTTCCAGTATTTCTTCGGTTTATTTTTCATTTCCGTCATTATGATGACTGAATTAGTCAATCATTTACGTTTTGCTTTTTTAAACTTTCATTTTGGAGATATAACGCTGTAGGATTGGAATTTTATAACCTAACATTAATTATCATTTTTATTTTTGAATAATACATGAGCAGACGTGGATGCAGAGATTGGGATGGGATTATCAAGTTGCCCTGAGAATGAAATAGATATCTTACTTCTCTTTCAGAGAAACTGCAATACATCGATTATCTAACTTTTTTCATCTCAAATAATTTGAAAACGATTGTATTAGATTTAAAATGTAGTTAATTAATTTCATGAATGCATTTTTCCTAGCCATTTTTGTAGTTTTCCTCTTTCCAATAAATCATAATATATTCACAAGCACTAGTACGAATTGTTGTATTAGTAAAATACTAAAAGTACCAATATCGGACTACGATCTAATTTAAATTTTTCTATAAGTCAATTTCTTTTTAGTTTAAATTTTCTTTACTTTAATTGTTCAAAAATATATACTATTCTGAACAAAAAAAAGAAGACAGAAATCAGACATAAATAAAGGAATAACTTCACCTTTATCACAGATAGAAGAAAAACTTAATATATGTGACAGGTGTTTGAGATATGAGTTGTTCGTGACTAAAATATTTTATCCTCCCAATATCGAAACATTTAAATGGAAAATAACTTAAATTCGAATCACAGATTTGTTTTGCGAAGAATATTTTATTTTTTGGCATATTTTTTTAACTTCTAATTAACTTGTTTGGTTTCATTGGAACATTAATTTTAAATTAATTGAAATAAAAATAAATTTATTAATCCTGGTACCTATAGCCCCTTTAAAACAATATATATATGGGTTTGATAAATTCGCATATTACCAGTTAGAATGTGATTACTTAATACATTTACTTATTGAAAGAAATGAATTATAAATATTTGTTCATAGTACTATGAAGAGATGTTAATAATAAGTATTAAATATTTAATCATTTAATTATTAATAATAATATTATTTATAATGTAGAAAAAGGATCATTAGTTACTTGTACAATAGAACACATTATTTAATTTCAGATGATTATCAATACAGATCGATATAAATTGACAATATAACATTTAAATTTACAACACGAAGTAGTATGTTTAGCTAAACTTAAGGACACTCAGTATTAGGGCTATATGTGGCACATACATATGTAATAATTAAAATGTAAAATACGACAAGAATTAAAAAAATAACAAAAGAAAATAAAAAGAAATAAAACTTGTAATAACATAATAAATAATAAAAAATTATTCATTTGTGATGACTGTGCCGATAAACACAATTTATCTCATCTAGCATCGTTGAATTTGATACCATGTGAGTTTTAAAATCAGTTCGTGTGTGTTTAAAATGACCATGGTCAGATGGTCCATCCTGAAATCATAAAAGTCGTTCAGAAAAATGGATTGATTTTTTTGTTTGCATAAATTTGTTTAAAATCCTATTTCGAGTCACCATGAAAGATCTTAGCTTTCAAAAATGCATTTTAACGTTTTTATTAAACTTTTAATAAACGGGCCATATGCTTTCCCGGCCGCACATATCAATGCAAAATAAGAGGGCCGATCTCGCAACACTTCTACATCATCACTTGATCATTTCTGAAAAGCAAAATAACTGAAAATTAATGTATGCTAATACATGTATGAGATATTAGTTTTTTTTTTTAGATAGATGGAAAATAACATTACTCTGGGAAAAAGTCCCTTCAGAATAACAAAAAAGTACATAATTAAAAGACTACATCTGGCCAAAATAAAACAATAATAAAAAAAGAGAAAGCAAAGAAAATATTAATTAAACAATAGTTAAAGAAGCATTTTACAAAAAAAAAAATATATATATATACAAAACACTTAAACCTATCATAAAACACTTAAAACTATGAACAGTAGGAAAAATTATAATTATACACGTTTGAAAAATAAAATAATAAAAAGTACATTGAGTTCTTCTTTAAAATGAGCTGGGTTTCTGCTAACAAAGGAAACACAAATCTGACAATATAAAATGTCAGATTATTTAAATAATGAATAATATCTAAACACATCATTATCTTATTGTAACTATTGGTACAAATTTATTTGTATAAGAATAAAAACAATAAAAAAATAAACAATTGATGAATTCAGTGGCATTGAGAGTAGGAAGATGTTCTAAAATCCCTAGTGAAGTTTACAGTATGGAATAGTACTGTCATTTGATGATGAATGATATAATAAAAATGTATAATATCAAAAGTTTAGCAAGTATCTGACTGTTTTTTGGGATAGGAATTAGAATAGGAGGGTTTTGAATATGGATATGGAGGGGGAATGCCGAATTTTGACAGGTTTTAGTTTTTTTTTTATTTGAGGAATTTTGTTAATTAGTAATTAGCCAATAAAATTTAAACAAATGGAAATCAAATAAGAACATACGTGTTTTTAAAAAATATTTTTCTGTGCGCAACCCACACATGAATATTATAAGCATAGAAGCTTAAAACTACAATAAGAATCAACCCAACCGCAAATTTCATAATTTAAATCAGCTACTATGTACAACTGGAAAAATTAAATAAGATAAAACATAAATCCTTTTAACTTTTTTATCCTTTAAAGGCCTTTTTAAATTGTTAAATTGTCCTTTAAACCGAAATCCATTGAGCAGGCGACATATAATTCTAACTGATCGGAAAATGGGCTACGGTAGAAAATTAGGTCAAAAGGAATTCGATAACAAGAGACCTATAAAAGAGAAAAAAAAATGGGGGGAAGAGGGGAATTCGCCGACAGAAAGAGACAAAAATAAAGAAAAGAGAGAGAAAGGGCGGGACGGTCGCTGTGGCCGTTAATACTCGTTTTGGCTAATTCGGAAATCCCACTTTCTCCAGCGAAATATCCCATCTCTCTAAATCTTTGTCTACTTCAGCCTTAGATTTTATTTTTGTTTCCCTTTCTCACAGGGGATAATCCATTTTCAGCTAAGGGCATCGCACAAAACCACCAATAAATAAGGATAAATCACTCAGAGGAGAGGACGCTAAGAAATTCAAGATGACGTTGCTATGGAAAGTTTAAGAAAGCTAAAGTAACATTACTAGATCATCTATTCATTATATATATATATATATATATATATATATATATATTTATAATTAGTTTTTATAAGCCACACAAGTTTGTGTACGCTTGATTATTTTCTTATTATCTTTATAACATAATATTTTTAATGCAAATTTGCTGGAATCAATAGTATGACTCCCTTATTTTTTTTTTTACCTCTCGTAGATGGTTATCAATCACCGAAACCAACGTTTTAGTGACTTTAGGCTCAATTTGCTCCCACTCATACATTGCAGCTTCCTTAACTTGTGATTTGTTTTTAATCTTCCTTTTTTTTTTTTTTCAATCTCCGCTTTAGTTCATTCCATAGATGTTCGATTGGGTTTTGGTCCTGTGATTGGGATGGAGTTTTTAATTCTCTAGGTGCTTTATGGAGAAGCCACTCTTCGACTTTCCACGCTTGATGCTTCGGGTCATTGTCTTGTTGACATGTAAATGATGAACCAAGATTCAATGCTATTGATTTTAAATTTTCGTCCAATGCGATTATGTACACATATTGGTCCCTTATGGGGTCAATAATTTTAAGTTTTCCCCACAACAAACGCACTTATACAGCCATGATGAACCATGATTCCACATCCTCCATGCTTGACTATGGGACACAAGTTTTTGCAGCTAACGCTTGATTGGATTTTCAACCGAAACTTTTCCATCAGAAGAAAATAAGTTGAATTTCTCTAATGGTATGTCTATATAAGGAGGTCCCGAGGCCATCTTATTTTTAGACGTCTCGGAGAGAAAATAAAAATTTAATTTAAGTTCTGATAATTATTTATTGTATGTTTCGGTGAATCTGTGTCTACCTGTTCAGCAATATTTTACTTTCCCAAAATTAATATTGGATAAGTCAATATGATATAATAAGCTTGGTTCAATGTTTGATTTGCAACTAGGAGGGTGACTCAGATTCCACGAAACGTACAATAAATAATTATCTGAAGATAATTTTTCTTTTTATTATAATGACCTATAGTGATATATACTTAAGTGTGAATAAACAATAATAAAATTATAATATTTCAATTTCATCATTATAATCCATATGTTATAGCTATCTCATCCACCATCGTTGTCTTTCAGTGACATATTTGAGAAGAAAGGATTTGATTGTCCATGAGCCCTGCTTTTCATTCAACAAATAATATCATTCCAATTGGTTTGGAGTTCTCAAGGGAAGGAATGATTTTCAATACGAATCATTGGTATGGCATAATTCAGATGCTTGTTTTAACTTTATTTTTTTAATGTTTGGTTTCAATTATTAATTAATTTATTCACATTGTAATTAATATGGTATAATGAATACAAGAATTGAAGTGAAGGATTGTTGGGGTGATCAGTCAAAATAAAATAGTAAAAAGTAGATCAGCCCTGATGAACACCGGAACTTCGGGCCGAAACGTCGGCGAATATGAAAATAAATACAATTATTGATTTTTACTATTTTATTTTGACTGATCACACCAACTATACTTCTCTTCAATTATTCACTACAGTTGACTATCAAACCACAATTAAGAATACAATAATAGTTCAAAACTTAAAGGGTGTCTTATTGCAAGACATTCGATATAATTAGAGTCTAATTATATGGTATAATTAGAGGTCTGCTAGGTGATAACTGGAGGTTATTAAATCCGTAGGTGACCTTACCGAGTACACAGAATCGTTTAGAAGTTGAAGCCCACTGAGAAGAGAAGGCCAAGTTCATTAGTGGCAAAGTTGAATTCGTAACTTGCCCCAACTCTAATGGATTACTTTGGATTTATAATTGGAGGGGAGAAGGGTTAGATAATAGCAAGTGGAACGGATAGGGATGTGGCAAGTTGCGATTGGGGATTGTGGAGAACGGTAATAGGTAAACTTGCAGCGCCTATCGCTCTTCGATTAGGGCTTTCTGGACAGGTATCGCTGGCACTCCACTCTTATCTTAGCTATTATATGCACTTAGCCAACTCCTCCGCCCGGGATATTCTGCCTCATATACTTTTATCGCCCGCTTCAACAACGTTATGCTCGTTTATTATCGAAAAGCGGACTAGAGTGTGGGCTACAGTCGAGGCTTAGGTAGAGATAATCCTGAAATGGGTTTAGAAACGGTTCACTATATCTATAATCGTCGAAAAGTTATACAAGAACAGAAATTTTGTAGTCAAATAAAATCTCAAGAAAAATATATAGATATAAAAAAACAAGAAGAAAAAGAAGAAAAGAACTCAAGAAGGGCTACTTATCAAGCAACACTGTTATATTTTTTTTGCTTTTAGCGTTTTTTTGTAATTAGATTCCTAATTGAATTTATGAAAATGGAGAGATGAAAATTGTTAATAAAAAAAATCTCTAATACAACTCAATTAATAAATTTTTAAATCTACACTTTTTAGAGTGACTGACACAGAAACTCGAGGAAATGAAAAAAAAAAAAAAATGAAATCCTCTAACGGCACCTTTCTTACTCGATTCGAAAAAGGGTGCAGAAGTACACAAACACGCACGAATTAAGGCGGCGAGAGAAAAAAAAGTTGAAACACTCTAGAGTTTCTATCACCAAATAAATTTCATAAAAATTTTCAATCCTATAACTCAATTTATTTGAGCCATACAGGTGTATAAATTTAAAACAAATATATCCAATTTAAATTTATGATATTGCAGTACTAAAAGAGAAAGTGATTGAAATTAGTGTATGAATCCGGGGCCTTCTAAAACACTTTACAGCACGTAGGATGTATATTTTGCCCCATGTATCAGTTCATAGCAACATCCGAAAGTCTTGAGATTCTTTGAAGGTTGAAAGCACACCAATAACAATATATCGAGGAATAACTCCTTTAAGAGGAACCTTCCTTTACTTATTTTTTTTTTATCTTTATACTTAAGAATTAATCTCCATACAAGAAATGGAAATAATGGATTCAAATTACATCATTTTACATAAAGGTGAACGAAAAAAAATATGATGTAATAAATATATTGCTGTGTTTTAAATTAAATTATAATGCATATTGTGTAACTGTAGCCAAATTTGTTACAATGATTTATTTAATAATTGTTTTGTTTTTAGGGTGTAATCACATAAAAATGTAGTCTATTTCAATATAACAAACATTATTATACTTATGGTGATACAACTTTGTTTCTTTCCTTTTTATATTACACTACAGATATTACAACACTCCTAAGGATAACTTAACATTTTTAACCGTAATATTCAGAGGACAATATTCGAGATTACCTAGCGAATTCTCTATAATTTAATATATTAGAGATGAAAAAATATGATTTGCTTACATCTTCTATAGTTGTTGACTTAAACATTTCTATCCAATTAAGATTTCTCAAACCGTAGTAAATTTGTACTCTTCAACAATACTATATTGGGCATTTAAATAATACATGATAAAGTGTCTTTTTTTTTTTTTTTTTTGTACAGTTGCACATTTTGCACTTAAGTTTCACACTCATATTTTACAATTTTATTGTTAACTGAAAGCTTGATCATGTATTTTCTCGAGAGGCGTATCTGCAATAATAATCTGGTATATTTAAAATTAGCCGATATCAGCAAATACCAGAATAATTTATTACAATCATATTATTGGGTTAGTGAATTAATTTTCAAGTAATTTTTATAAAACTATTTCATTTTGTATTTAAATTTAATCGACTCTGCTTTCGTTGGCTGCGTCTTCGTGTTGTTCCTTCTCTATTCACTTTAGTCCCTTTCCTGGGTATTTTAAGATTTATATTCCATATCCTTCATAATTTTCGGTAGACAACTCTTCATACTTCTAGTGCTGGATCCAGCTCACATCTCAGACATGGATACATTTCCTTTTTTTTTTTTTTAATTTTAGAAGGTTATTTCGAGTTTCCACTAGGCTTTCATGTGATGACAGAAGCGTCGCATGGCTTTCAAATTCTCAACATGAAATTAATAATTATTGTTTAATTCTGTCTGTTTGTTTGTTGTTGTTTACAAGCCTAAAACTCTCAGGCCGTCAACGCCTACTTTTAATTCCGTTGTTTCCTAGATATGGATTGATCTATACAAGTGAATTGGACTATATACTAGAAAATTAGTGAAGGTTTTAGCATAGATAGATAGATACAGTATGGAATAAAATACTAGTATACATTTTGTATGAGGAGAAATATTTTCAGGCAGGTAGAAGCAAATATCCACGTTGAGGAACCAACTTATCAACAGCTGAATTCTGGTTACGAGGTGGACCTGCCTGCTAACATTTATAATTGGAATTTCCATGAGCAGGACACAGAAGTGATCAAGAGCTCTGTTTTAAAGCTGGGTACCAGCTCATCAGGGATAATTAATCTCATTACCGCAACACCTTTCTGTTACGGCTTAAAAGGATTGGGGTCTGTCATTGCCTCACCGGGGTTCGTATAATTCTCATTTCAAAAGAGCTTTTTCCCATCACAACAGGGTTATTCAGTGCCATATTCGTATAAGCGTTAAACAGAAATTCAAAAATACACCTTAAGAAGAAGGCAGACTTGAAACCAAAATTATGAAAGATTTAACCAGCTACAACTCAAGAAGCAGGGAAACTATATGTTATTTTTTTTTCTTCATATCTTCATCCTTGGTTGTTGTAAGACGGTATGTAAAGTTTTGTTGTTTACGTACCAGAGGGCTGCGATTATTAGTTTAAAATTTTGTATTGAAATTATTGCAGTTTTTATAGAGATGTCTTTTTTGCAGAACCGTTAACTTATGAGGCGTATGTCCATATGATGTATATGATGTTATGATATAAATAGGAATGATATATAAAATTCAGTTTTACAATATTCCTATATCTAATAATAATTATTATTTATCTTTAATAGATAATTGTTTTATTTTAATTTTCTAAATTATCTATAGGTATTATAACAAACCCAATAATTAATAATCCACACAATTTTATGGCAGAAAAAATAAATGTTTCCGAAATACAAAATCAAATAAAATTAATAATCGCCTGTATTTATAAAAAAAACAAAAACAAATATTTTCCGAGATATTCAAATAATTACTTATTTTGAAGGAAAAAACAGTTACCTCATGTTTTTTATCTTCGTTTCACTAGCAGACACTTTTTCTTTTCACGCATAATATTTTTCTATCTATACGAAAAAGTCGTATGTAAAAACTTTGTTAAGAATTAAATTTTTGTCAAGAATATATAGAGGTATTTTTTGTATTATAGAGTTCATTTCATTTCTATATTCCGAGATTTTATAGAAGGACTTTGCTTCCATATTTTTCGTTAATCTTCTGCTCTAAACCTCTATAAAGCCAGTATTTACATATAAATTATTAATTACAAATTAAATATGAAATACCTCACTTCAACTCACGAGATTTAACTTAAAATTGAAGAGACCTTATTGAATATTTTGTGATCCATTAAGTATTTCATCATATGTAATTATTGCATTTAAATAGGGGTGAGAAATATATCTCTAAATGTAGTTCTATTGGACTCTATAGAATGATATTCAACACTACCAAACGATATAAATGTACTTTTAGAGAAGTACATATGTAGTATCTGAAAGTATAATATATAATAGATATTAAATTATCAGGAGTATCTCCCCCCCCCCCCCACAAAGTCGATGAGGCATAAATCTCCGACCTTTTCCAAGATTTATTTCTAATCTATTTATTTACAATTACACAATGTGAGGTTTCTTCCATGTTTTCTCCTTGTCCTATAGTATAGAACTTTCGATTTCGACAATTTATAACTCCGTTGAAATGCAACATCCTCAAAAATGTTGTTGCCACATCTTGCGAGACGAAAACCTATTTTTGGATACCTCATTTAATTATTAAAATTTACAGTATACTGCTATAAGTCCTTAGTTACCTATAAATATAGTAACTACAATTCATTTATAAATATGTAAATAATAGCTTTATACATATTAAGAGCAGAAGATTAATGAAAAATAGGTAAGCGAAGTTATTCAATAAAATCTCGAAATTTAGACATTAAATTGTAATTAATTTTGAAGGATTGAAAATAAAATACGAATATATACATATATTGGCAAAAAATTAATCCTTAACAATGATTTTTTTAATTGAGATCTAAAATCACTACACTTGAAGAGAAAAAGTGAGCGCTAGTAAAATGAAGATAAAAAACTTGAGGCAACATCTTTTTTTCAAAATAAGCGATTATTGATTATAAATATCTCGAAAAATATGGAAGATAATATTAAGAGCGTAAAAGATAATATTATCAATACTATTGCAAATTTTGTATAGACTTTATCGCTAGGGTATTAGATTTATCTGACATAACCGATATACAAAACAGAAGTGACCTAGGTGCCTTTAACACCTGACTTATTTCATATGAGTGGGAACTTTTTGTGTGTTTACCACCTACCTAGTCCCAAAAAACTCCAAACATCAAAAAAATTATGTTCCTTCCGATTCCCTTCTGCACCTCCCTTTTAAGTACTCATTTACAGGACTAATGCATTTGATTATTATACTAGTTCATAAATATTAAATATATTCAAAATAAAATATATTTATATCTCTCAACAACTTTTTTTCTCTATAAAATTTCTGTAATTTTCACAACAAATGGCAATGACAATTAAATCAATTCCTAAATAAAATTAAATATAGTTTTGTTTAAAAATATTAGATGAATTCAACGATCCAATGTTTCGTTTTAAACTCTTCATGTACATATTTTTTTTTTTAATTTTGTATTTCCAATCTGAAAGTAATATTTTTTAATTTTCAATTAAACTAATTAAATTTAAATTAAACTAACATACCATCGCTAATTTTACCTTTTTTCTTGGAAAACAATTGAGAATAATAACAAAAATAGAGGGAGAATATGAAATTGCAATTAATTACACTTAACAGAAATTAAATGAAATGTCAATCTGAGAGAGAAATGTTTTATTTATTCAGTAAAACTGGAGTCGGTCAAATGTGCGCCATGTTACATTAGCCTAATATTGACATATTTTTAGAATAATATTAGATACAAATAATTTAGTCATACTACAATAACAATATTTATAATTATAATTGCATTTCTATGTATCCCATTTATTTTATGTATATTTATTTGTGTACGGTTGTAAATTTAATTAGTAAAAAAAAATTAACGTTTCTTCTTGTTTAGTAAGTTATAATACAATATCAAATAAAATAAGCTTTGATTATAATAATTTAAATTCATCTCGTTCCATCTGGCTCCGTTAGAGTAAAGTTAGATATTGGTAAAAACATTATGCTGTATCAAATTTTTCTATCTGATATTTTGCTTATGGATGCCCAAATGTATTTTCTTTAACACGCAATTTTCTAAAAATAAACAAACGTATGATTTGGTATCAATCCGCATCTAAAAATTTAAATCAATGTAGTTATACAGGACATAATTGATGTGGTAGGGACATATTTGCGGCTGTATTGAAATTCGTGTGTCAGACAAGTCACCAATAATCCTATTTTGATGGATTTTAGTTCGGAAGTCAATTCCATTCACTACTTTTGTTTTGGTTGCAAATGCGGAAGCCTATTTTCATTGATGGGTCTTATGGTTTGCCCAAAAGTTGTAGAAAATTAGGAAATTAATGTAAATATGAACCAGCATCAACATTTTCGAATTCCATATTCTTATTTTGCTTACGGAAACGCGCACATATTTTCCTCTTCCGAAAGCCGCCTGTTAGATTTGCTACCTGTTTTGTCAGATTACATATAAAAATTCAAGTGGTAGTAATATAATGAATATGAAATGTGTTAGTAAGTAAACGTATAGTAGTGGGAGGTTGATTAAGTTTGAAACGAGATGTATTCACATAGACTGTAGCGCGAAAATGGCTATAACGATTTTGATGAAATTTTTCTGTAATATTCTAATAATTGTCGTTTCAATTTCAGTATAAGGACTAAATTCCGGAAAAAAATCAGAAAAAAAGTTATAAAGAAAAGGAAAATGTTTTGGGGCCTGATTCGCTAAGTATACATTATATGTTAAAATTTATAATAATTTTTTAGAAAGGTAATTAATTAAATTACCAACAAAACAAAAAAAAATCAACGGAATCGAACCAGTATTAGCGATGACACAGCTTATTCTATTTTCTACACATGTTTTAATTTATTACTTTTCTACCTCTACTAGTTAAAAAAGTATTACGATTGGGTCAAATTTCCTATTTGCGGTTTTCGACGGATCTGTAGGTTACAGAGCCCTCTGTGTCAGAAAAACACATTTTTAGGCCTTGGTCTGTCTGTCTCTCTGTCTAACTATTAACGAAGTTACATCTATTCAATTTCCAATGTAAGATTACGGGTTCGTATCTCATTGTCAGGAAGGGGTGACTGAGAGAAAAAAAGATGACTAAGTGAAAGTAAGAAAATCTGTTGCCCGCATCACACAAGCTTCACTATTTCCTCTACTTTTAACAGAAATTATTTTTTCACAAAATTAAGCTATGGCAAAAAGATTTTGATCAGCAATATTAGGAGGTTTTTGAAATTTCTACACTGATTTACCTTAAGTCGGTTTACAGTGCTTAAGTTTATCAAATAAATCGTACTCAAATCTTTTAAAAAAAGAAATTCTAAAATAGATCGGAAAGTTGTGTGAGTGGACACACCAGATTTTTTAAAAATATATTAGACAGAAGATAAAATATTTTATATTAATTCGCGCCAAGTACTACTATCTACTATTAGCCTTTACCATAATGATACATTTTATGACCTTAACATAGTTTAATTAATCATTATAATATATCACGACTTGCCAGATATAGCCGGTAATATTAGTCATAGTGATTAGCAATTATTATTCCTATTAGTTGCTTGCTATCATTGCTATAATCACTATTAGTAACAGTAGTTGTAATTAAATTAATGCTAGGTCATCTGAGGCACAATCTAATCCCACTTGTATTCGATCCGATTCACCATTCAGACATCATTAGCTATCATTTGCCAGTTAATATTATAAATTCAACGACACTGCACGAACAAGACATGATATAATCCTAACTAATAATTAATACAAGTAATGAAATATATGGAAGAAGGATGAGAACCAACTATTCAAAATATTCAATCAGCTAAAAGTATCTTAATGAGACATTTCCGATGATCATAAAGTGCACTTTGAAATGCAGATAAGAACTCGTATTTTTTTTTTTTCTTTTCTTCACTACCTTGCCTTTTCGGCTAGACGGAGATTTTCTCGGGTCTGGGGAGAGGGCGGGGGATTAGTACCATAAAATTGTAAGCAATATTTTAATTGCCATGATCTTACTTATGCCTTTCCCCTCTCTCTCTCTCTCTCTCCACCTTTGCCTGGAATCGGAATCTCTTGCACCGATACAGAAACATGTTTTGTAATA